TTTTTTTTTTTTAACATTTATCTATTATAATTTTTTGTTAGTGTGGTGTATCTATCTTAGTTCATAGATGTTAACCATAAATGAAATTAAATAATTTATTCTTTGGTTTGTTAAATATAATTAGTTCAATAAGAATAATGAAAACACATCAAATTGCCTAATAGCCTGGAAGTAATCTCCCTTCGTTTGGACTTAGGTCTTGGATTTGAGACATGATGAAACGCGAGCAGGATGGGAAATGGGAAATGGGAAATGGGAAAGGAGAGGATTACTACCTGGCTCCCATTTTATAACCTACCAATCAAAATAAGTAAATAAATAATTAACACCACATGGGAATGGGTGCCCCTCACAGCACCAGCCATAATGCCCCATCAACAGCTCTAGCTTGACGCATCTTGAGTTGCTCTAGAACCAGCTCTTGGAGGGATTCTGGCCATGCTACCCCCAAGGAGTGTTGGTGTATGGTTTGCATGAAAATCCACCAATCCAGAATCCTAGAGAGATTCCTTCCTTGACACCTCTGAGGAGTGTCAGATTGACAATCATCTAGAAGCACCAATCCTGTTGCCCTTCCAAGAGGAAAGTCAGTCTGGTGCACCTCAAAAGAGTGTCCATTTAGTGCTCCTTAGTACCTTCCAGTGCTTAGGGATGCACCATTGATGGTTGCTTATAATTAATATTTAATTTAGTTTAAAATATTTTAGTTTCCTTGTATAAAAAATAGTTTTTGATTAAAAAAAAACCTTATTTTATAATATTTGATTCCCCTCCAATCACATGCTTCCATTTAAGACTATCTAATATTTTCTATGAGCTTTAACTAAACTTAATGAAATTATTTAATGGAATAAAGAAAAGGGTTTCAAGGATGATATTGGACATTTTCGGACTTTTGAGGACAAAATTGAACATTTGTCACAAGTACGAGGATGTAGTCCCATTGATAGAGAAAGAATTTCATTACCCTGCAATCCTTATCATTGATAAAAAAAATTCCAACCCTGAGGTTTCCAAAATAAATTTGCTAGCCTAAAGTCTTTATTGCCAAAGTTGTTAGTCAAGTGCCATCCATTTATCTTCTTCTTGTTATTTATTTAATGTTGTAATCCCAAATCAACACTCAACCCAGCACCCACGGCACTAGCTATATACATTTTCCAAATAGTCAAGAAGACCAATATAAAGACTTACCCTTTGTATTGTTCCCCTAAGTGAGGCAAGCTCCAATTCATCAAGTGGCAAATGGCGTACCTACAAACAACACATGCATGGACAGGAGTGTTTCAGATTCTTTTTAAATATTCGTTTGTAACATTAAATAGACCTGATAAAAGTCAAACTATAGAAACAGAACTGACAAGAATTAAAGATACCTCAAGCGAAGTAGAATGTTGTGGACGGAAACAAACATTAGCTCTTAGTTGCCCCTTTTGAAGGGAAAAGGAAAATGATTTTCCATTCTGTGAGTTCTCTATAAAGCTATGTTGCAACGGTCGTACAACCTCCACTGCAAGACTTTCATCTGGCCTACCGGTGGCCTCCAACTGCAAGCCCCAAAAATGTAAAGAATACATTATAAATATGTTAATAAAATGATCCACAATAGTTGGGGATCGAATGAGAGTAAGTCCACAGCCAACCCATTGAATAATAGAATGCCTAGGTCTCATATTATCAAGTCCATGTTTGAAAGTTCAAGACACGTGTTCACCTCAATGCTATTATGCACCTGTCTCCATATTCTGTTATTTAGTAATAGTTTATTTATAAGGGGAACTTCACTGTAAAATGTTAGCCATGCTGCCATAGTTGAGGATTAGACCCATGATGCTGGAGACCACCATATTAACAATTATTTTATACATTTTTTTTTAGTGACCTAATCATTTTTATAGAGATAAAATTTAAACAAAGTTCCAAACAAATAAAAAATGAGTCACCACAAAAATGAATTAGAAGTTTCTAGAAGATCAATCATACAGTTAAACTGACTAACAATTTAGGCTTTGACAAAAGCTTATGCAATTACTCTTCTGTTTTTTTCATTTCCTGCATGGAACTTTCCAATATGATTGACATCACACAGTAGTTTCCTTTCATGGTTCAAGTAACAGCAAATTTATACTTTCTACAAGCCCCCAGAAAGGACCACACATTTCACTCCCAATCCTAACTTTATGTACAGGATTGGGATTCATAAATTGCTGCTTTTTTAATGGAAATATATATAAAATTTTGAATTTAAAGTGAATAACTAATGTCTTTTTTTTTTATCAGCAAAAAATAGTATTATTAAGTTGGAGTACAAGGGGTACTCCTACCCGTACAAAGAGAGTAAAATATAGAGTTAGGGTGATACACTCAACACTTTCATACGAAAGTGAATAACTAATGTCTTTTAACATGATTATGTAAAAAAACACTGTTATTTTCAGCATAATTCTGTAAAAACTTCG